TAAGAATTTAACTATCAAAGAGGAAAGCCTATTAACCCACTACTTACATAATTGGGCCTAAAAGCAACCATATTTAAGCTATATTTAGCATGGATCTATGCTTAATGAATGAGAAACGCTTTAGGAGTTTCAACATCATCATGTAATAGTTGAATTTGACAGGATGAGATGTGTGTCACGTTTATTTATGGCTTGCCTGGAAACAAAAGCACGATGCCTTTCACCCCTCAGAGAAGAAAAAAACTGTGATAATGAACTTTTTCTTATATTTAGAAAGTTTTGTAGGGGTGTCCTGCTTCTGGAGGACCAACGCCCTGCAGCTCTGACACACTTGCCTGGAATTTTCTAGTCAGTCTAAAGACCCGATTACTTGCTGTTTAATTAGGGTTTGAGCTAAACCATGGTCTGAAATTGGGAGACAGAAATGTCCACAGCTCAATGACTTGAGTAATAATAACCTACGGGTGAACTGTATGCTTTCAACAGATTTTGTGTTGTTTATGAATACGCCTACCACAGTTATATTGTGTCATTCTTTTAACATTTACCAACCTCTCGCACATCTAAAATCTGACCTTTTTTAAACATTATTACCTGTAGTTGAGGTTTAGCCCAGATAGCAGAACTTCATCGAATTAACACTAAATCAACAGTCAAAAGGTTGAAACTTCAACGTTGAATTTTAATCAGCTTTGCATCCTCAAACATATTCCATTGATATAAACAGATTTTAAAACACAGACACATTGATGAAGAGCCTAGTGAGGGCTTCCTGGGGGCTAGGTGAGGGCTACCAATATGGGGCCAGCTCTAAGGAACCAACATTTTCCATTGAGCAAACTCTCAATGGCCCTGCACAAGACATGGGACGATTATTGTTTTTAAGGTTTACCGTGGTTTGGAAAAGTCAAGATTTTAAAACCGCCAAACTATTCTGCTATACCGTTACTAGGGTATATGGAAGATTTTTACTTGCTTTTTTGTTTACAGCAGAAAAGATATCCGAAGATGCCATGCCATTTTAAATAGTAAAGAAATCTGTGGTTTTGAAACTAATGACGACAGCAGAAGTCATTGATTCATTTGAATTATTTAGCCAAACAAGTTTACTGCTCCCAAATACTTTCAATGTATCCCAAAATAAAATATATTATGTTCAAAGAGGGGAAAGCCGTTGTTTTTTCCCCAGACATGTAAAAAGAATATATTTTAGAGCAGTAATCACAATATTACTGCTCTATCTTTTCAACAATTTGTTGTCAACATTAAAAGACAATAGTCTTATTAAAAAGTACAATCTTTGCTTTATTGTTTGTCCATTGTTGATCAAACGTGTGTCTTTGCAGATAAGCTATAAGAGTAGTCAAATTTAGTCATGATGTTCATTAGCAAGGTTGAGTAAAGTTAATTTTAAAATAAATATATTAAAATCTTAAGCCTATCTTCATTTTTATAAACTAACATAAATAAACTTTCACATTACTTTTCAACTTAAGATTGCAATATATTACTTTTAACTGTAACCAACACTGTTCATTAATTCAATAGACTGAATTATACGAATACTTGAATGACCTGAATTACAAGAAGACGCAACCGTCTTCCATCTGGAACCAATACCTTGCCAAAACTGGATGATACTTCACAAGTCAATGACAGATGCTGTGTGGACCACAACTGCATCTCTTCAGCGTGAGCTAAAGCAGTAGAAAGAAAGAGAAGGCACTCAAGAAACATCTGCCCAGTCAAACTCAAGTGAAAGTGACCTCACTGTTTATCTGAAACTAGCTCTGAGTTTGTTTTGATTCCGCCCATAGCTGTGTGTTGTCCCACCCTTAATAGACACTTCATCAACAACATAAATTCTGTAAATCACTAAAATAGTATAAGGGAAAGAGGATGTGATAATCTTAACCATGGACACAAATGCACTAAGACATAATTAGAACTGATGAGCTCTTGTGATGTGCCTTCACAAACATTTCTAATTTATCCTAGATTATCTAAAGCCCAATCAAATGCGGTGTTAAAAGACCCAGGCATGCTGTAAATCATCTTAGGATGCATTATGTGTGTTGATCTCTTTGGTGTCATTGATTTTATGTACAGAGGGGCATAAAGTCATAGATGAACACAGAGAGAGTTCCACAAATAATGTAAACAAGTTGAAAAAGAGATAATAAGTCTATGTAAACTGGATAATGCAGCACCACTTTTTTGAATTCCATACAAACACCTACAATTGTCCTGTAAATTAACTGTAACAAATAGATGCTAAACGTGAGTAAACTCATTTCATTTGTAGAAACCAGTAACTCAAATTGTTCAACTGCTAGCATCATAAAATATTTTTCCCATTCAAATTGTTTACACAAAGTTGTCAGACATATACATCTATAACACCATATTCCCTTCATAAAAACAAAAGGCAGTGGAATTATAAAGGGTTTCCTGAACTTAACAGCACACGAGATATACCCTGAAACCCTGTCGGCTTGTTTTAAAAGCCTGTATTTCTAAAACTGACTCTCACCTTCCCCCATGCACTAGCGCTGGGTTAAGCCCAGGACACTTCTGTAAAACTAGTGTGATTTTATCTGCTGGATTTTAGCAGAGCCCTAATGAGAGAGATCATTGAAAAACAGGGTTAATCGAGTGAAAGGAGTTTAGTTTAGCCTGGCTGGTTTCATAACAATTTTCTTATATCATCTAACAGAATCAGGCTTTTTCTTCTCATACTTTGCATATTACATTGCCATTTCTCATGAACAAGTCTGTCATGAATGTGATCCAAGTAAAGTCTATCTATCTCTTTTAGCTTTTTTTTCTCTTATTTCTCAATTTTATTTAATTGATTTCCTTTTTAATTTTCAAGTGGCTCTAGATCCAGGGGTGTCCTCACTGACATGAACAGTTTAGTTCCAACTCCAATCAAACAAACATGAACCAGTTTATTAAGCTCTTAGTTATTTAATTTTAATATTAGAAGCTTTCAGGTAGGAGCGTTTATAGGCAAGTTGGAGCTAAACTCTGCAGGACAGCAGACCTCCATGACCGAGTTTGAACCAAGTGTGCCGCAAGCCTACGTTTGAGTGAAGGTTTCGGCCGTTAGATCGCCCCCTGGGGGCTGGCTGCAGTACAAGTCATAAAGCCCGCCTCCTCCGTGTTAATGAAGGAGACTTGAGCCCAAATAAAAAAAAAATATTACACTTGCAATAAAATGTCCCGAAAGATAGTTCTGGTCGATTAAGGCACTGGTTATTGTGCTGAAATAGGTGCAGATCTTCATTTTTGTAAACAGTTTGTTTTTAGCAGTAATTTAATGCTGGGCGTGTCATCGTGATTGACAGCTGTGATTGACAGTCTCTCAAAGCGCGGCGTCTGAGCTTCGGCAGGAGACTGAAGTAGACTGAAATATTATTATTCGATTTCTGTGTTATTTTACCATGACAAAATGAGTTCAGCAGTAAACTATAGTTTCTGACATACATGATCCTGGTGGAACACTGTTTATTCGCTAAGTTCAGGGCTTTTTTCGGGCTTTATTAGTTTGCTGATACACGCCTAACCAACCAGATAGCAAAACACAGTTCCGGCTAGATTCTCGCCTGCCGGAGACTTATCTCTTAGAGCTCAGACTGACTAATGTTACCTCTGCTGGACCTACTCCGGATGCCTGGACTCACTAGCCGATTCCAGTCTGAGTCAATCGAGCCAGATGCTGCGGCCGAGCAAGCCGGCGCTGCCGCATGCGAGCCGGAATCAGCCCGTGACGCCGCGAGTAAGTTATGCGCTGTGGCCCGGAGCTGGCGCGATTGAATATATAAAACCCTCATATTTGTTAACGTTATTACATCCATTTGTGTTGATATGACAGCAAACGCATGCTGAGAAGTTCGGGGGGCGTAGTTGATTTTGCATAAAGCGTTTGATTGGAAGCTCGACTCCGCTCATTTTCGCGGCTCCTCCTCTGGCTCCATCAGACAATCCTTCTGCGCATGTCTGGCTCCAATTTCAGCAGTCTTTTGCGACAGTTTGTGCCCGTCAAGCAGGCGTTTTGCCCTCAAGGCGTTCAATGGCAAAAAGGGCTGTCGCGTCGTCCATATTTTTTACAGTCATTGGTTTGAACACCCCTGCTCTAGTTTTTCACTGAGCTATTCCTCTTTTTCTCGCCTGGCCGCCACTTTGTTTTTGAGGGTGTAATGACCCCTACAGGTGTAACTTGCTCATTACATACTTATAAACGGTAGTCGACACAATTTTTGTCTTACTTTAATGTTCTAGCTGGGAGAAAGGGAGAAAATAATGAAACGGTGGTCCTTGATTCATAAAAAGTGAGCCAACAGTTAGTGGAACTTTGAGAGTAAATACAAAAACACACAGGAAAGATATTAACACAGTGGCTCATAACAATGCCTCGGGTTCTATGAAGGGGGAAATCGTCTGTGGATGAAGTGGGAGATTATTTATATTAGACTAGCCGTATACGCTTAATCAGCATCAGCAGAATGTTCTGAGTACATTCCAGACCAGGTTCAGCTATAATCAGGCCTACGTCCTTGCATGGGAGGGTGAGTATATTCGATTTTGGATCATCTCTTGAAGTTACAGTAGGCCTAGATCGTTTTGGTTTAACGCCACATTTAGGGCCACATCAGCCTAAGCACCCACTGGCATTTTAGCTTCGTTTCATTCAGATTAATCGATGTTGGGGGAAGGTGCCATTAAGCTGACTGGGTTGTGAATACAATTGTACAGTTGTGATGTGAATACAATTGTAAAAAGGAGTGTTTTAAAAATTTAAATCCACCAAAAAGTTTTTCAATATTTTTGTAAAAGGAAAACGCGCAATACTCGCTTTCATCCAGCAGATGGAAACCTTTGGTCATTCTAATGAACTGATGCTGTCTGTGTGATGCTGAACCGCAGATGATGTAAAACACAGCTGGTAAAATCAACTTGAATTGTTTTTAGGTCACTTGATTTACTCGACGTGATTCATTCACAAACTTTATTCACAATATAATAACACAAGATATGTAGTCGTTTTTATATAACCGCTTTCAAACATACAAACAAACAATCAAACAATCAAAACTGTTTAAAAATTCTGCAGTTTGGCAGAAAATAAAATCAAAGTCCTTCAATTTGCCTTAAGGAAAATGCATTCTACATTTGGATTTGGTTCATCAAGCATTGGAGAAAGGACCGGTGAGAATCCATGGGCAACAATATTTTCCATATTTTTCAGTTTCCTCTGTCCTTCTGTTTGGCCATTTAAGGTCAGATGTGTTTTTGACACGTTACATCATCCTTGCCTTACATTTCAGGCATTCTTCTATCTCCAGTTTCTCTCACAGGAGGTCATTTTGCATTTTTTCTGTCAGTTGTTTCACTGGTATTTCACTTTGGACACTTCCTTCCAGAACACGCGCAGTTATTTGGCGACTTATTTGCTGATAATGTGGTCCAGCTTCTGCATAGACGTGACATGCCCCGTAACTCTCTGCCTGGCCGCTGGAAAAGGGTGTTGAGATGCTGCCATCTTTATTGTTGCACTGTTGAGAGCTCTGGCGCTCCTGGTCTTTCATTCCTGGTGAAGGACTGGCCTTGCTATGGCTCAAACAAATCCTGTGGCGGAACATTTGAGTGTCCTGACTCAGTGATTTGCGAAAGTTGGGTTTGAAGAGGAGATACACCATGGGGTTGTAAATGGTGGAAGATTTGGCCATGATAGCTGCAAGTGCAAAGGCAGTGGGTGGGACTTGCTCGTTGGCGCTGAAAGCAGCCCACATGGCAACAATGGCATACGGGCTCCAAGCCGTGAGGAAGCCAATACATACAGCCACTGAGAGCTAGAAAGAAAATACAAGAGGTATACTTGTAATCAGATAGAATAATTAGCTTTAAAGAACTCCATTTATGCTGTTTTATAGGATCCTATAAGTTTGCACACATTTAATTCTCAATATACATTTCATATAACAAGTTTTTTTGAATGCTTCAAACTATTTGTCTGAAGTTTTGTTCTAAATAAAACTCTCTCCAGATGCTTCCTCAATCCTCAGCTATTAAACAAACTATTGGACAGTAACATTGTTGTCAACTTGACTATATCAATTTGAGTCCGCGTCCAGTGATAAAACATTGGAAGAAATACACTGTTAAAAGTAAAGGTGTTTCAAATACCCTGTTGAGTACGCAAGGAACTTCAAAATGTATTTTAAGTGCCTCAAAGCGCTTTCTCTTAAAAAAGGGGTTCCGCTGACAGTCTTTGCAGGACCTTTTTGCAGTAATTGCGATCCTTCAATCACTTTTTGTCAAAACTGAGTTTTTGGAGTCACCGTTTCCTTACACTAAGACCTTTGGAACTCTTTGACTGTTATTAGAGGAACTCAAATTCCAAAAAAGAGTTCCTGTAAGATCTGTAAACACATATAATGGTTCCTGTCTTCTCTCTTCTAAAAGCTAGCACTTCAGGAACCAAGAGTTTTTGTGACAATTAAATAAATAGGACTATTATGAGATGCATGTTCATTTACTTAATTATTTGTGTTTTTAGAATATGAAATATAGTGTTATTGCTATTAGGAGACTGACTGGAAAATTGTGGAAGAAATATGAAAACGTTTAAGTAATTTTGGAGGGTAAAATACAAATGAGCCACAAATAAGGAAAAAGAGACAAAAACATGCAAAGGCATGTGCAATTATGAAAATTATCATTATGATAGGGAATTAATTTAATGTCCTGTCACTTGACCTCATTAGACCCTTGAATTTTATATTTCAAACAATACAAACAATAACAACTGCTGCAATAATGATAAATAATAATAATAATCTATTGTTATCATTATTATTATAAAAATAGAAATAATAACAGTCCTCCAAAACCCACTCATGAAAACATTTAAGATATTACTAAATGTAAATATATAGGCTATGGGCTCTGGTTTATTAATAAAAAGTTTTCCTCTAGTTTGTGTTGATAAATCAACAAGGGTAACTTGCTAATGAATGCAGCATTTGTACATTTCTAATGTTTCTTCATCTGTTACATGGATTAATGGAATGAAATTAATTGGGTTGTCAAAAAATGTTTATTAACAGGGACTAATAACAAGTTGATCAACAATTTATCAAAGAATCCTGAAAAAAAAAACAGTCACATTTCCCACAAAAAAATTCAGCAGCACAGACAAAGCATTGCTTATGAATAATGTTTCTTGAACAGCAAGTTATGAAGGATTGTGTGAGCTTGGAATAATGATTCTGAAAGTTTTGACACCACAGGGATAAATTACATTTAATAATAAATTGAAATACAAAACAGCTCGTTAAAGCTGTAGTATTATATTGCAATGATATTTTTTTCTCTGTATCTCTTAAATCTTTTGAATGCATTTTGAACACAACACCATTTCATGTTCCTTATTATTCATCATCCCTCCTAATATTATGTTTGTCTGTTGACCTAGATAGCCAAACTTGTGCAAAAGTATGCAACATGCTCTTATGTTTGAGGGGATATTTTTGGGCCTTGATAATCAACATTCAGCGCCAGATTATTCAACAGTGCAGCCCTCACTGCCAACAGCAAAGTAACATGCGGGTACAGTATATTCATGAAAAAACAGAAAAGGCTTGGTCAGCCAAAGGTACAGGCAGCCCTTGTCCAGAGGACAGAGGATGGCTAATGAGCATTACTTTTTGAGGGACATTAAGTACACGCTCAGCAATAGTATCACGTTCCTGCTGTCTACTCCGCAGAGCAATAAAATAAGGTATATTTGCAGAGTGACGCAGTGTGGACAGCACACATGGTTTTGAGCACTTTTATTGCTGATTTTTATTAAAACTGAAAGATTTTTTGTTATACAAAGGTCACTGTGAGCACGACAACAAACAAACCTTTCAGACCTGCCAGCCTTATTCTTACCTTGACAATAAGAGCGTGTGCGTTGGTCACTTTGGTTTGTGGCGATACGTGCTGCTGAACGGCTTGCTGAGACCCTCTGACTGTGACCAGGATGAAGGTGTAAGAGAGGATGATGATGGTACAGGGGACGACGTAACAAAAGATAAACAGACTGATGATATATGACATGGCAAGGGCATCGTGGGATGGCGTGTACCTTGGAACATACAAAATGGAAAGGTCATCACTGCAGAATCTACACATATTAATGCACTGAAGAACATTGCTTGTCTCACATTTTAACCACATGCACATTTTTTGCACAGTTTAATTAAAAGACCACTTGAAAATTCTCAGTTATTCTGGTTTTGTGATTTATAGTTTCTTAGTTTTTTTCTTTAAACAAAACACATTGACATGTCCTCCAAACATTTTGCCACAAAATTTAAAGGTGCTGTATGTAAGTTTTTGACTCTTCAAAAGTATTAAAATATTATAATATGTTTGCAGATATTTAAGAAACATTCTTGATTGTCTGAAAAACATTGCTGAAGTCAGAAATTCTGCGTTTGAAAATGTGCTTTCTGTGCCAGAACGCTGTCTTGTTTTGTTTTTTTAACCCACCCAATGCCAGTTTAGCCAATTATATATCAGCCTTGGTGGAAAACCGCATGTTTTATTTATTCATCCAGAAAAGCTTTCAAAGCATGCGTCTGTGACTAAAATGCGATCTTTGGTGGACAGTAGCAGACTCTGAAATGAGACACGGATTCAGAGTTCCACATGAGGTTATTAATAGCAAATAACATAAATATTACCAACGTAAACATTAGGTGAGCAGGTTACATTGTAACCCTGTGTCCTAACAACACGCTTCGTGACGAGATATGCAGTGATAAGTAATTTGGCTGTTTGCATTAGTCGAAACACGACAGAAATTTAAATACAGCCATCCAGAAGCACAGAAAATGCACTCACTCACGAAGTGGTAATGTTTATAATTTAATTAATACATATTAAATCTCTTTAAAATTATTAAATGTACATGCTGAATCACTGATATGTGTTGGTGAAGTCACAGTTCTAAAGTTCAATTTCAAACGGTTTATTTTAATTTTTAGATCTGAGGTGAACTATCTGCTGCTGTTTTCAGCAGTATGGCAATAAATATCTTATAAAATGGCATTCAAAATCACATTATTAGCATTTAACACTGGATAAAGCACATGAGGTGTACCGGAGGTCATCATGTCATCAAGTTTTCTGTTGGTCTGCTGCAAAAAATAGCTGTTTCTAATATATAAATTTTAGGTGTTGGTTAGAACAAAAACCCATTTTATTATGGTAAATATTCCTTTTATCGCATACCATTGCTTTTATTTAGAACACGGTTCAAATCAGCCTTAAATCAGTGTTTGGGCTCCATTGCTCGCTCCTGTTTGTCCTCAATTTGGCAACCTGCACTTCATTCAGGAGTACAATACCTAGTTCAACCATTGATATTATCATACTTACATACTGCTCCTTTAAAATGACAAAATATGTACTGGACACATTTATTTTCATTTTTAGACAACACAACTTTAACTTCAGAAGAGTTAAGAAGTCAGTTATTTGTTAAACGAGAACTTAAATTCCAACTACAACAAATGAAAACTTAGGTTATTCTGACCAGTTGTAATTTTCTGGTGAAAAAAGCCTAAATGTCAGCATTTGGAAGAAATGTTATTAGATTCAAACCCATATACGCTGTTAATGATTTTTGTAAATTACACAGTATTTGGTTTGTAATATAAACTGTATTTTACTGTAAGACAGTAGCTATGTTTCCATTCAAAGATGTGAATTAAATTGAAGCACAAAACTGGAATATCGCATTTAATACATGCAAATAAAGCACCGTTTCCTTCCAAGTAGTCAAAGAGATTGAAATCATCACTTCCTGATTAACTGGCGTCAAATATCAACAGTAAAAATGGAATTTGCTGAGGTAGAAGAAGCTGTGTCAATCTTTTCCTTATTTAATAATTGACTGGCACCTCAGAAGACAGTGCCAACACAAAATGATCGCATGGTGTCGTTTGAAGGCATCAGATATGGAGTACAGACGCGCTTTACAATTCTAGAGGTCATTAATAATATAATAACACTAATACTGAGATGGTTAAGGTGTTTTAGAATGGCCTAAACAACATTTCAGATGATTTACAATGTGATCAGCCTGCTGGTTTTGCTGTAATTTATTTACAGTGAGTTACTGGCGAACTGCTGCCAGTAAGTTATTGTAGATTCTACAGGAAATTGTTAACAGAGTACCTAATAAATCACATAAAACCTGAACAGTGGTCTCTTAGTTTATTCCGTCTCTGTATTTTTTAATTATTTTTTATTTTTTTGCTAGAGTCTTCAAAGTGGGGTTGAATTTAGTGTGAAATAATTAGCAATTGCTTTGTAGATATTTATTTTGATCTAAATTGAGTCCAACAAAACCCTTTTTTTGTAGTCGCATATTAATGCTAAAATGATTGTGGTTGTACCAGTTGATGCAACAGGCGGTTCCATACGGTTCTGGTCCAAAACTCCCCCAGTGAACCAAAGGTCCCACAGCAAACACAGAGGCGTAGCACCAAACTCCAATCACCATCACACAAGCATGACTGGATGAGAACTTGTTACCTGAGAAAGAGGACGACTGCGTGATTACACATTTCTACGATAAATGGTGTGACTGCTGAAGGTGACTATTAGGGCAGGTTGAATGATTCTCATAACGCAGGTTTAAACAGTAGGAATGATTTTAATTTCATATCCCACAGAGAAAGAATGAAGAAATGAAGTGGTGTTTCAAGCTCCAGTAAACCCGTAAATGCATGCTCATTATCTGCTCTTCTTCATTTGCTTTGCTTCATTTGATACATTGCTTTGTCTTTCATAGTTTTTCCAACATGCTCGTTTTTTTCAGCATGTCCTCCCTTTTACATCTTTCTTCATTTCTGTGTCTCTTTCCATTTGTTTTTAAATCTCATTCTTGCTTATTTAAGCCAGAGGGCCTTTTTATTTCACACTGAAGTGAAAGTGACAGTTTTCAGAATCTTCAGACAGAACGTGGCGCTAACAGTCCAAAACACTCAGACCTGATTCTGCTGTGTGAGATTAGACATGATCTCAAATAAGCCTCACATTTCAAGAGTAAAATTCCACCATTTTGTTACTTGTTAACAGGGTAGGTTACCCAATAATAATAAAAGAGTCAATCAAATGCTTAAAAACACAAGATATTATTAAAGAAACCAAGAAAAAAATTTTATCTTTCAAGTCTTTTGAAGAGATCTTCCCATTGCATTGGACAACTTGTTTGTGTAATAGTTTTATATATGTTATATCTAATATAACTTTTATTAAATGTGGAACTGCTAGAAAACTTTGATTTTTAGTGTTTATTCTCCATCCGTTTTGTTTTCTGTGTAGGATTAAGATGAGTGAGAATTGTTTTATGGTCTGTGCTGAAAGCATATTGAAAGTGTTACCCATTTATTTATTTTTTTATTATGGGAAGAGTTTGTGTCTAAGACTACATAAAAGTTGTATTCTTATGCTTTTGCTATTGAATTTTGTAAAAGACTATAAAAACAAAATTGTTTCGTTCTGCTATCCAAGCCAATCGGTCTTCACTGTTGTTTTAATGAGACCAGCTATGTATTGTTGCAGTGCTGTTAATTCAAAGTTTCAAAGCCTTTTCAATTTGACATTATTGATTATTACTGTTATTTAACTTGCCATTTCATACCTTATGTTTTAAAGTTATCTTATGTATACTTTAAACCAAAAAAAAAAATCATTTCGACTGTATTTCAACTGTAGTTTTCTGGCAACCACAGCTGCCAGTTTTTTACTGTGAATTTTACAGTTTTCTTAATTATACTGTAAACTGAAAACATCTCTATCGTATTTTTAACGATAGATTTCTGACAACCCACAGCGCAGTTTTTCAGTCTACGGTAGCAATACCCGTAAAATTGACAGTTATTACTACCGTGAACTGAAAAACATTCTACTATATTTTTACGGTAGGCTTCTGGCAACCCACAGCTTATAGTTTTTTTCCTGTAAATTTTACGGTTATTGCTACTGTGTTTTTTACAGTAAATTTCTAACAACCACAGCTGCCAGTTTTTACCATAAATTTTACAGGATGTGTTTTTCACAGTGTCCTGTACGTGCTAGTCACCATAAACACAACAGTAAATGTGTGATTTAAAACAAATCTAAAAAATCTAGTCATTACAGATTTGGTCGTAGCTGGAAAAAACAATTCTGGGATGTCTTTTTTTTTTTTTTTTGGTCATTTGAAATTTATTTAGTTACACATTTCTTCTTTTCTTTTTTTTACATTTAAAACACTGCTTGGGTAAGCAATAGCACTTCGTAATGGTTTATATCAAATAATATTTTGACAGGAAGACAAAAGAGTCGAATACCGTAATTTGGGAAGCAGACTTTGAGGCAGCATACTGACGACAAAGCAGTCAAGTTTGTTAGGCTGCATAAGCCAAATAAAACTCCGCACACGGCGTAGCACAGACATGTTATCTCCCCAAACAACCACCTACAGAGAAAAGAGAGAGATCGTTTTACTGTTTTTGCTGAACTCTGAAGGAACACGAAAAGCACATCAAACAGTATCAAACATTTACAAACGCTAAGTGAGAAATGAGCAAACTGTGAAGCTTTGAAACTGTAGCTTACCGGGCTCAAGATCATGATCTATGAACAAATTTATAATAAATAAATAAAGTGCTACAAGCTAATGCGCTAACTTTTAATTATATTAGGATAACAAAATGTTTTTGTATGACTATATTTTGAATTCCGCTTGTTAAAGGCATACATTGTATTGGCATTTGGCCACTAGGCAGTAATATATCTGTGGCTTCACTGCATTGAGGAAGAGGATTGGTTGAAAGCACACAGTTTTTGAGCATACATACTAAAGAGTAGCGTGCAATACAGATGATTGAATCCTGTTGTTTTGAAAAATAAATGAAGATGTTTATTTACATTTATTTCGCCTACAGACTCTAACTGTTGCTCATACAAAACTTGCTCATTCTACCACCGATAGCGGCAATTGGAAAGCTGCTACAATGCTATTTCAGAATTTATCTGGCACTAAACAAAAAACAAACAAAAATCTATAACAAATAAGTAAAAATTAAACATTTGTAATGTTGCGATTCCTTTAATTTTGGTTTCCTATTAGTCAGTCTCGTGAGTAACAGTTTGTCCCATGGCTTTAGATTTCTTTGCAGCATGGAGACTAAGTTACTTTAAAAAATAATCATTCTTTAATTTTCCTTCAGCTTTGTCCCTTATTTATCATAGATCACCACAACGGAATGAACTGCCAATTTTTCCAACATATGTTTTATGCCGCGGATGCCCTTACAGTCACAACCCAGCACTGGGAAATACCCATACACTCTCACATTCCACATGCACTCATACACTACGGCCAATTCAGTTAATCTAATTTACCTAAAGCGCATGTCTTTAGGCTTTGGACATGTCTTGGACTTTATTAGATGGTGACAAAAAACATATTGGATCAAACAAGTCAGTAAATGCATTTTTTATTCAATCATATTCAATAATAAGCCTTGCAAATAAGCTGATTATAACTCGCCTGCTAAGAAACAAATATGAAATACTACTGACTAACTAGAGCTTGTCTGTAGTGCCAATTTGGTTTGTCTAATTCGCCTATGTCGCATGTCTTTGGACTCATGCGAGTATGGGGAGAACATGTAAACTCTGCACAGAAACATCGGCTGGTTTGGTAAAGACTTGAACTAGTGACGTTCTTGCTGTGAGGCAAAATTGTTGAGAGAAAAAAAAGAGTTAGGAATTGACTAATTGGTGGATTGTATAATAGCTAATGCTGGACCAGCCGGGTTCAATAATAAGCACACGCTCCTCTTGAAATTAGTTTATAAATAAATCGCAGTTTGGTCTCTACACTGTAAAAAATGTTGAGTTCCACACAATTTATTTATGTTGTCCCAACACAAGTTGATTAATTTTAAGTTAACGCATTGAAGAGAAATTACAATAAAATAATCAAGTTGTCACCAAAAAAAACTCAAGAATTGTGTTGTTTTAGCTAATTTTGAATAAGTAGTTTAAACAAACAGCTAAAAATAACAAAAACAAACATTTTTGACTGTATATTGCAGCGAAGAAAAGCATGAAGAAGGAAGTCACCTGTGTGCCAGAGCAGATGGGATGGCCAGAGGAAACAGAGACAGGGTCATCCCGAGATCGCTCACAGACAGGTTCACCACGAAAAACTCTGCCGGCTTCAGAGACGACCTCTTACGGTAGGCCACAAACAACAGCATGCCATTTCCCAGAAGCGACAGCACGACTGTGAGAGGAAGAGATATCCATCCATTCATATCCATTCATCTTCTCATCAAAGCAACTAGTTTGTAAAGCTGTAATGAAAACGTGCCACTGACAGTGTGACGTCTCAATCCCACCTCTGACAATCCTGCCACATGAAGACACTGTTTGGTCCCCGAGCTTAGAAATGCTAAGCAAACCCTGCTAGGTCTTTCTCAAGAAGTCTAGAATAACAATTAGGTCTTTGTTTATTTTAACAGACCGAAGTTGGATCAATTCCTTAGATAATTTCAGGCAATTTATCATCTGCACCAGGGGTATAATTAAAGTTCCTGCCTTAACGAAACTTAATTTTTTTGCACAGCAGAGAGCTATCACACATCCACATCCATGAGCATATAGGAGTTCAAAGTGTTTTTAAAGAAAAAACTTCCTGACTTTAGTTTGTTCTGACTCTTTATTCTTAAGTATAGCAATTTACATAATTACATTTCATTATTCTGTGAGTGCTGATGAATGCTTAGATATATATATTTTAAGGGAAGTACATGATTAGAATAGTCTCAGGCAGCTTTTAACCACATTAGTTTCACATCACTACACTGAATGATTAGTTATTACACATAATGTATAAAATCTGGCCCAATTTCATAAGGACATGTAACTATTTTATGAGTGGGTAATTTGTAAGGATTCTTCCTATTACATTTGTATAAAAAATATATATATTTTGAAAAGAAGGCGAAACCTCACCTCTAAACCCAACCATCATCAAATATATGAGCAAATCATACTAAAACGTATGGAGGAAATCATAATTATTAGCCAAACATTAGCCATTTCATTAAAATGTTGCGAACGGTAATTGAGTTTATGGTATTTAATATTGCATTTCCTTGCTTAAAAAATATTGAAAATTTATTAAATTACTAAATATTGAAAGTAAAGAAATCATCACCTGGGTAGTGAATCATTAAATTCAGTTAGAAATAGTTAGAACATCTATTTAACTAATGGAAGGAGTACTGAAAAATCATACTTAGGTTAAAGTACTATTACTTGCCTTAAAATGCAGTGCGGGTGGAGTAAAAGTATCTGTTGTAAAATTACTCAAAGGATGAGTAAAAAGTTGACTCAAGAGTAGTGAGTATTACGCGGTAAAAAGCTGATGGGTTTACATTTGTGGATGTGTGTAAACGTAACATTCTGTGGTGCATTTAGTTATTGCCCAGCAGGCCCACAACATCAATAAGACGTTATTATTAGGTCAGATTCATGTTGTGACACCCGGTGACCAAAATTCTCACCTTTCACATTTCCAATGCAATGAAATAGCAGTTTGTAACTTTTTAATTTATTGGCTAATTTGTATTCTATAATCTCATTCATACATTTTATTCTGATTTATTTATGCCCAATGGGGTGTTGGGTTAATTGTGTGGGGTTTGTGTCATGCATTCTTTTAAAAATGGTATAAATATGAATAATAATATAAATATAAAATAATATAAAATATAGATATTAAATATAAATTAAATAATATGAATTCATGCAAATTAACTACTTTTCTGACAATATGTAAAATAGTTTTATATTTCTCGTAAAATTGGTTTTATCAATGAATCATAAATAAAGATAATCATGTGATCAACTGCAATCATTTTCCCAAACTCATTGCATCTGTGGGGAAAATGGTTTTTAAATATATACCATTAAATTCAAAATTATTAGCCCCCTTTGAATTTCTTTTTCTTTTTTAAGAAAATAATAAGTTGCAAAATATCTAGTCTAATATTATTTACTGTCATCATAATAAAGATAAAATTAAATCAGTTATTAAAATGAGTTATTAAAACTATTATGTTTAGAAATGTGTTAGAAAAAAATTGAAATTGAAATTGGGGGAAAAAGGGGGGTGAATAATTCAGGGAGGCTAATAATTCTGACTTCAACTGTACATACTTTTTTCATCCTCAGGTTGGAGAAAGTAGATAGAGGCAGGATAAGCAGATGGAGGTTAATGACTAAACCAGTTCAACCATGAGAGTTATTTTTTAAGAAATAAAGATAAGCAAAGTCATCTGGAAGTTCCAGATGCAAAACATATTTGTGGACTCACAAAACACTGAATAAAGTGATCCCATGAGGATGTCGTGCTGTCTGGAGATGGTGGACATAAACAGGGCTGTTTTTGACACATTGCCCATCTGTGGGGAAGAAAAACAGAGAGAAAGTGCTAAGAAAACAAAACTTCAAACACACCTATGTTTTCAGATCCATCGGCTTTAGATTAGGATCTTGTATCAGTTTATTTCTTTTACAAAACACCAAAGGGGAAATTTAATAGTAAAAACACTCTATAAATATCAATTAACAAAATGTTGGAAAACCAAAAAAAGATGTTTGATGAACTAATATTCTTGTTTAAGCTTAGTTGAAATTAAATTATAATAGGTCTCGAATAATACTGTACTTTAAATGAAGAATTAATTTCAAATCCACTCACTATAACAAATCTAGACAATATAATGTTTTTAAGTTGGAGTCATGTTTAAGCCAACTTAAAAAAATTATAAAATTAAGCAATATTATTTAATTGTTCAAATTAAGTAAGCGTAAAAATAATGCAACTAGTTTGCAAAAAAAAAAACGATTTTGTAAACAAACTGGATAGGTGTGATTTTCTAACTTTTAAAAAAAAAATCTTGATTTTTTTCACTCATTTTCATGTTGTATGGGTACACAAAAAATTAAACATAGTTGTTCCACTAGTTTAGTTGCCATTGAAGGTTGACTGGATTTGAAAATAACATTTTGTTTAAAAAAAAAATTAATTAAATTTGTGCACACTTATAAATAAGATGTCTTTCTTTTTGGCAACAGTATTGTCAAAAGAACCCTTGTACTTTCGTTGCATGTTTCAGATGTTAATTCCACAAAATGTTTCTGTTATGGTGCATTTTGCTGTATGTTTCAAACACACATCCTCGAGAAGGCAAGGCTTATTTTACAAATCACCTAGATCAGCAAACCACTGATCTAAACCCAACCAATGGAGTTTTCAAAGGCAAATCGCATAGTTTTACCTTGATTTTCATCGTTTTATCTCTTTTCTCAAACTGTGCATCTGGAGAGTTCTCAGAATCCCAAGTATGACACTGTACAAGGTGAGCTACCAGGCAAACTGACCACACCAGAAAAGTTCATAAATAGGTGAGGCAACTTGTTCGATTGCCAATAAATACTCTTAAGCAGTTTTGTATTATGTGAGCAAAAGTTGTTTGCATCATAAAGCCCTGTTGTTAAAATGTTTAGTAAGTTTTTGCAGTTCCACAAAAATGTAGGATGCGTATTTACAATGACTGCATCCCTGTAGTCCACCATTGTTTTTTAATACCGAGCAGGGACTTTCCAAGAGGCATGTGATGGGGGAGATGATCGCAAACTGATGAACCTGGGGTGGGGGGGTATTCCAGCCGATCGCGACATGAAGTGCAGGGGGTAAGATTGGAGACGAACTTCATTCGATCGCAAACTGAAGACCAAAGTGCACTTTAGTTCATTTTGAAAGGGCATTTTTTCTCCAAGAGAAAAAAAACATAATAAACTTGCACATTAAGTCAACGTTTTCACAAAGCTAAGTGTAATTTACACAAAGAGAATAACAAGCTAACTTGCACTTTGAAACTTGCAATTGATGTAAGCCATGGACGGCCAAAACATACTAAATGTTTTCCATTTTTAGCTGAAAATGGAAAATATTTAGATTACAGAAAATGCTTTTAGATTTACAACAAATGTTTTTATGTTACTTTAACTCAATTAAATGAATCAGGTTTTAATGAAAAAAGTTTCAAGTACTATTTTTTGTCAGTTTGATTGATTCAAGATGCGTCATTTGATTCAGCTAAAAAAATTAAGGCAGGAAGACTTTTTTTTTGCCAGTGTGGAAAAATTGATTGTGATTCATTTTTTTTGTTTCCTCCTGTTTCACACTGTCTTTTTGACATACCTGCCACTTTTCTAATTGTAATTCCACGTTTGTCAAACATGTTTAAAACTTAAATGGTGTGAACTAATTAATATTTGGCTATAATTAGACTATAATTCGAGTCATTTGATTGTGACTGAACAGTTCACAAATCAGCTGTGTGTTTATTTATATACATGTCCATGGTCAACGAGACAGAATAATTGAGCAGGCTAGTAAACCTCAGTTGATTTGGGTGAATGATTTCTTTTTAAATTTCTTTTAGCAGGTGTCTTTTATACACTAAATGATACGTATGAGAATTGAATAACACTTTCTTTGAAGGTACAACTCACACTATAACAAACTATTAACTATAACATTTAGCTAATAACCTCTTAATTTGCTGCGTAATAATAGCTATTAAGGTATAGAAGATACGTTTATGTATTAGGGATGTGGAATGAGATCATGCAGAATATGTACATTATAAGCATTAATAAATAGGCAATACATTAATAATAGCCAGGTAATGAGTTACTATCTATAGTGAGAATGGCTACTTAAACTAAAATGTTACTGATAAATGTATAGAAGACTAATTTGGTTGAAATTAATAAAGGTCTGGCGTTTATCCGGGTGCTCATGGAAACTGAGAACTCCGTCCCTAACAGTAACATCACTAGGTGAATTGAGTTCATGACTGAGACTGCATGTCTGATACTGTTAGGTAAATTTGTTAAAAGGATAGTTTACCCAATGAATTTTACATATCTGGAATCTTGGACTTCAGACTGTTGTGAAAAAGCTGTGGCTGCAGATTAAATGTAATAATGGTGTAAACTGTGTTGAAAATCTTGCACAGACTGGTCATTTCGCTACAGAAGAATTCAATCCATTGTGAGAAGCCATTTATTTTGATTTGCCTGAAAATATTTTTAAGCCTCAAAGAGCTGCTAACAGTTTCAGCTAAAATATTTGGTTATGTTTTAGTAAAAACAAACTGATCTACATTTTGGATGAGCTAAAGATGAGTATATTAATGTTCATATGCTACACTTTTATTCATGTTATGTGTTTTGTTGATGATGGTGATGCCTTGTTTGATTTCTTCACATACTGTTGCTGCTGCAAATGCTTCAAATAAGCCTCAAAATATGAGTTTTTTTTTCTGATTTTCTGCTTAATCTGAGTCTTTTTTATATCTCTGGTGCAAAGCTCCTAACAACAGGCCATTTTAGTTTAGATCTGTTTGACCTTGAAACGCCTCTAGACCCAGATAAATTTTTCTTTCAACCATTTTTTGTCTCATCATTTTTACACTATACATTTTCTTTCTCGCTGACCAGGGTCCATGATGTATTAAAGCAGACAACTCTTTTTGAATGAACCTGCCGGCTGCTTTTAAAAACTCACACACTTTTAGATTCTATTCCTCTGGAAATCTAATCTTTTCATGTCCTTTCTTAACTCAAAGGCAGACTGCTATACTCTTCCAGATTTTTCTTGATATATTTTCATTATTTTTTTCCATGTCCTCACTTAACCTTCCCATGACCTTTCCTGTTCGTTAAAAGTTTAACAAGCTAACTTTTTTGGAGGTGATGCAGGGTGTTTTAAGGTGATGCAGAGTCTCCTGCAGGGTCTGCTCTGTTAATAAGAAATATACTGTAATATATAATCTGTGTTTTTACTTTTTGCTTTTGTTTTCCCTGTCAATATGCCCAATTTCCTTTATTTTTTTCATTTCAGAGATTTAGTTTTGTATTGTATAGTGTGGTATTTAAAAATATATATTTCTTTTGTAATTCAAGTAAACAAACAATTTTTCTTTTAATTTTCTTTTCCTTTTTGATAAATAATTAATTATTTTATGTTGTTGTTGTTTGTTTGTTTGTTTGTTTAAAGTTTCATTATAAGGAGCTTTATATGCACCAACATACTAATTATAATATTTCACTTTTTTTCTAAATATATTTAACTTTATTTACATTTTGTACATAATTTATCACAACATTAATTTCACAGTATTGTTTTATTATTTGGCCTATATTATTAATATTATTTAGAACATTTCAACAATATTTTACAAATATATTGTTTAATTTGTTTGCCCAGAGAGTGATGATTTGTGATTAAAAACATGATAAGTAACTGGTTATAAGTAATTAAAAACAGCTTTGTTTAGCTCGTTTGTCAGTATGTCAGTTTGTCTGGTATCTAATCCACAATCTTTATGTTCATCCATGTATCTTCCTAAAAACATTTGTGGTGCTTCGTGAAACCTTTTAGATTCCACAAAATGTGTTAAATGTTTAAAATATATTAACATTAATAACTTTTTTAGAACTATTCAGTAAAATGTTCATTATGGAAAAGGAAACAAAAGTATTTATTTATTTAATTGCCATGAAAACACACATTGGCAATCTTTCTTTTGAATATGCATGAATTATCAAAATGAACATTTATGGTTGTCAGAAATCCTTCACAGATTGAAGCCTTACTAATACAGCAAAATTAAAATAAGGTGACAGCTTTTCTGTCTGGACAAGGAGAGCAAACAGCAAACAACATAAAAAACGTTTGTGTTTTTTCTTTCTTTCTTTCTTTCTTTTTTTTTTTTTTTTTTTTGCAGTCAAACTGTAGGAGCATTTTTGGCTACCCAAAGAACCTTTTACTGAGCAGTTTTTAAAAAAAAAAATCTTCAGCAATCTTCAAATATCAGTATGAATAAAATCTATAAATTAACCTTTTGTGAAATAAAAAATGTTCGTTTAATGTTAAAGGGTCTTCAAGGATACAGTGACATTAGCAAAAATCTTTTTTTAAAGTAAACTGCACTAACAATATTTACTTAAAACACAAACACTCTCCTGCGCACACACACACACACACACACACACACACACATACACACACACATTGTGCTATTACAACACCATAAAAACTCCTCATTCTCATAATCTTTAACTCTTAATCCTTAAAACAGAGCTTACCTTCCAGGACTGAGAGCGTGCTTCACTGTCCACATGGAGTCCAGGTAGAATAAATACTAAGTACAGCAAGAATCACACACACAAACAAAACGATGGACAGATTCTGACAGAGAGACACGGAAAAGAAACTATAAAGAAGGTGTATCTCCAAAGTGGAGGATCTACACTTGAGGATCGATGATGGTCAGCAACTCTTGTAGCGATCCTTGATGTGGAGGACTGATAAAATCCAAGCAGACAGAGTCAGACAGACACACTGATGGCTGATGATGTCTCTCTGAAGACACACACTCTCTGCTGGTCCTCTCGCTTTTCCTCTCCATCTCTGTTTTCCTCTCTCTCTCTCTCTCTCTCTCTTTCTCTCTCTCTGTCTCTCTGTGCGCTTCTCCTCTATTATCCCTGTCCCCTTGTTTTGACCCTCCTCTCCACTCCCATTTTATGGCTAGACACTTTCCGTCTTTGTCTTTCTCTTTCTCTGTCTGTGTTTCTTTACTTCTCTGAAACCGACACATTTTCCTCACATACACACTTATCAGTAAAAAGAAGATTCCATGAAGAACCTTTAACATCCACCAAGTCATTTTGTTTTCGATTCCTAATAGAAAATTTATTTGATTTTTTACATTACCCAATCCAGTTTTTCTATGTTAATTTTCGCTCTTCAAGTAATTATCTGGAATCGGTGTGTATGTGTTCACAAACATCAACAGATTAGTATTTGAAAAAAATCACAACAATACCCAGCAAGCATTTTTTGTTTTTAAAAAGATGTCTAATAGATGTCTAATAGACGTCTAAGAATAGGCCACTTGTTATCAAATAGAAATTAATGACTACACATATAAAGTCTGTCTAATCTGTCCACTTGATGACTAGTTTGGGGCTATTTTTAGATGTCTATTAGATTTTCACTTACAGACCCTCCTTGTTTTAGCCAAACTGTCTATGTTTAGATGTCTATAATTTTAGGTAATCTTTTTTGACTTTTGACGAAAGTATAAAATCATTTATTCATTGTATATTTACAAAGTTATCAAAAAATAACTTGCATTTACATTTAGAATTACATTTTAGAAACGGATATAAAAGAGAAATTTATAAGAGACACTGACATGTATAATTTACTGGCATACTGTAAAATAAACATCATGTAAAAATTATGTAATCCATGAAAAGTAACTGTAACCTGATTAAGGGAAATGTAATATAATCTAATTACAAGAACTGTTATTTTGGAAACTGACTATACAATCCTGATTTGATAATGTCATTTTGATCAACCCTCATGTATTGATTTTTTTTACATTTTATTTTTTTTATTTATACACTGAAAAAAAATGATGCCTGCAAAATTGTTGCAAACAATTTGTATTGAATTTAAACAAACAAATAAAATTTAGTAATGCTTAATTTAACCCAAATTAACTGTTTACAACAACTTAATTTAAAAAACTTACAGTAAATCAAAGGAATCATCTTTGAATATTTTTTTCATTGTACATTGTAAAACCCATTACAAAAATATGCAAAAGGGACATGTAACAATAAGCAAATACACTGAGGAGTATTTTGAGCAAAAAAAAAACAAAACAAAATAAAAAACCCTCACTTCTGAACATAATGTTTTGTTCAAGATATCAAAGCTTCTCATAATTCTTCCTCTTCATCAACCTGCAGCGAAACAACAAGACAAACTGGCATGTTGGATTCTGTCAGCTGTCAATCGCACATTAAAAAACAAATGTTTTTTTTTTCTCCAGTCATGTGAGAAAATCCTAAAAGTTTCTTTTTAGAGAACAAATAAGCTTCAATAAACGGTTTAATATCCTCACCCTATATGAAAAAGTATTTGAACCACCAGAGAGACATCCACCCCGCTGCTTGAAAAAGCTTCAATGATGCGATTAGCTTCTGGAGGAGAAAAAAACATAACATTGTTCATCAAGACAATCCAAAAAGTGTTCCGGGGTTCTTTTGATCCGACATCCAAGACATGCTTCAAAGCAACCCATCTCAGTGCATCCCATGCATTTTTAATAGAATCTGAAATGTGGTGGAGATTACAGCAAGAAACAGCCACCTACGATGAGGTGCTCAAAGATTTCACACTCAAAGATGATGCATATTATATTACAAGTTTATAATCCTTCATAAACGTGCATATAGATGAGCAAAATGTTTAGGGATTAGACCTGGATTGGGCCAGGTATATTTTAGGAAACACTATCAGACTAATACTTTTGAAAATAAAACCTTGGCATTGATGGTTCCATGAAGAAGCTTTATTATGGTTACACTCATTTCATTCTATAAAAAGTTTCTTTACAGTGGTACAATTTATTTAGGTTTAGAAATGTTCTTCACATTATAAATGAATAAAAATTGAAAGATGTGGAACACAAAATGGTTCCTCTTTGGCATCACTGCAAATGCACATTTTTGAAACAGATTTTAAAAGTGTATCTTCCACTTTATATCTATTAAATAGCTGGGTGAAGGATTTTTCTTTTTGCTAAAAGATCTGATAGTCTAAACTTTAGACTTTAAATTACCTCATCTGATATTTAAACATCAAACAAGCAAAACAACTGAGATATTCAGGTTCCTCACTCATCTGATCTGATGGGCTTTTCTATTTATATCCCACAGGACTGTTGGCATCACTTGTTTGTGTCATGTTGACGACAAGTGACTCAAGTAAAGCAATCTGTTAAAATACAACGATACATTCAGGAAAGAGGCAGGTGGTGCTTTTTTATTGTTTTTTTCTATTTTCTTTTAAATGCTTGTATTAACATTATATACTGTACATACCTTCACTGGGCACTTTATTAGGTACACCTTACTAGTACCGGATTAGACCCCCTTTTTTTCTTTAGAAAGGACTTAATCCTTTGTGGCATAAATTCAACAAGGTATTTGAGATTTTTGTCCATATTGATGACAGGATAGCCTCATGCAGTGCTAGATTTGTCAGCTGCACATCAATAATGTGAATCTCCTCTTCCACTACATCACAAAATGCTCTATTGGATTGAGATATGGTGACTTTGCAGGCTATTTGAGTACAGTGAACTCATTGTCATGTTCAAGAAACCAGTCTGAGATGATTCATGCTTTATGCATGAAACGTTGTCCTGCTGGAAGTAGCCATCAGAAGATGGGTACACTGTGGTCATAAAGGGATGGGACATGGTCAGCAACAATACTCAGGTAGGCTGTGGCGTTGACACCATGCTCAATTGATAATAATGGACCTAAAGTGTGCCAAGAAAAAATCCCCCACACTATGCCCTCACCTAATCCCACTCCTAATCCTACCTGTCACAGTGATGCCACTCATTCCATTGAGTGCATTGTGTCTGCACTCAGCGAAGCAATCTCAGCTTGCATCATAAAGGCTGCATCCAGATACTATTGACACCATTACACCACCACGACACATATATATAAATTATTCAGATACCTTTAACATTTTCCACATTATCACAGTTTCATTACACGTTAAAATAGGTACTAAAATATGACAAGAACTCAGGCCTTTGCAGTTAAACTGTAAAAAAAAAAAAATCATCTATAAAATGTCAGACAACTCTGATATAAAGGTATAGTAAATAATGGCTTAATCAAAATGAAAAAATAAGCTACAAGAATAAACCAAAAAAAAAAGTATATATATATATATATATATATATATATATATATATATATACATTATTATAATATATTATTATATATATACTTATATATTATATAAGTTCAATTATTGAAAATATGTGGGCAACTACCATAACGCGTAGTTGTGATCTCAATGCTATATATATATATATATATATATATATATATATATATATATATATATATATATACATTAGGGATGCAACAATACAGTTAGCCCACGGTTCAATACATACCTCGGTATTTTAACACAGTTTTCGGTTCGGTTTGGTTCTCATGTCTTATAATACTCATTTTGTTTTACTTAAAAGCCAAGAAAAGTACACTAGTTCCTAGTGTATTGTATAAAAAAAAATAACACTGAAATCTCACAGCTGCTGGTAGCCCATGTACAAACTGGGGAACACATAAAATCCTACACTTTGAAAATAAACACATGTGAAGTCAATAAAGATAAAATGGCCATTTCAAATAAACATATTTGTACTTCAGTAAACATAAATAAACCATCTTAATTATCTCTGCACTGAAAAAATGCGAGACTGAAGTCTGTAACGTGGATCGAGTGCTTTTATAAAATGACAAAAGCCCACATCTCCAATCACCGAAAACGGCTCTAAATCTTTTGCAATAAACACCCACACTGCCTTTGATATTTTTATAGTCTTTCGAAACCAGTTGGGTATGTTTGCTTGAAAGATTCAGTGAGGGATTGTTGCTATTTGGAGGACTTTATTACCTTCTCTGCTATCCTGCCTTCAGACAGTGATATTGCTGGGTGATGGCACTGCTGATGTGCAGTCATGGTTATATGTGACGTGTAAAACAATATATATATATATATATATATATATATATATATATATATATATATATATATATATATATATATATATATATATATGCCAAATGCAAACATCAGCATGAGTGAGTCAGGCAAGGACACGCAGAATTGACAGAATTGTCACATGTATTAGGATTCGATTGAACTCAACATGCCTGAGCTCTGCATGACTGGTACTGAAAGTTTCTGCGACTTTGAGATCAGCTGCGTCTGTGGCATCTGCGAATGTGTGTGCGCTCTCCTGCTACTGCACCGTTTAAATTTCTCCTCAAAATCAGTAGGTGAAAATAAGGTTTCCTACTGTATCTGCAGGGTAACCAGAGCGACTGCATGAAGCCGAGAATAACAGGGTAAAGCAAGGATGGGCAGATGGATTGAGGGAGGGAGGGCTGGAGGATGAGATGATATGGCAAACAGTGTTGCTTCAGGGTGATGAAGCAAAGTTTGTGCATCTGAGACAGCAGCAGGCAGTACTGAGATGCACACGTGATGTACAGACGCACTGACAACAGAACTATAGTATATTATAAAAGAAATATTAATACTTTTGTATATTAAACTAGTATATAGTTACATTTTATATAATCCAATTTATTTAAATAATCAAATGTACACTACATTTGACTGATATTTTATTGAAAAACTCTACATCTAAGACAAAAGACAAAAACACTGTTACACTATATACTATATATATAACCAGAAATACAAATAACCAGAAAGGATATATATATATATAACCAGGAATACAAATAACCAGAAAGGAAAGAAGGAAACAGCATGAATTATTTTCACTAATTATCAGCACATC